CTACCTCTAATCTGGTCCCGCGCAGGGTATCCAAGACAGCTCCACAGTGCAAAATGAACCCCAATAAAGGGGACAGCTGAGATACTCATTTAAAAACACACTCCTCAAACTAGAACAGTCATATAGACATCCCCCTTGATGTTCAGTACCTGGAAACTAAGAAAACTGATGCCATTTAATACAAATTAATTCTTCAACAATCTTTCCTGACAACAAAAGCAGAGAAGGAGTTTTGCCACAACAGGATCAGCTCATGATTAGCCGATGAATAGCTGGAAGTTTGTGTATGTTGGCAGGGCAAACACTTTCCCACTGAGAAAGAGAAGTTATTCACGTATGACAGCTTCACAGATGACCAGTAACTAATTTCCTGGTTCACCGATCTGATGAAAGTAAGATTTCTAAACAGGCCTCTAATTTTTTTTTTACAATCCAGTATAAAAAGATACTGATGTTGGGACAAGGGCCAAAAATGTCATATCTTAAAGATAAGTAACATGTAAAGAAAATAATGACGTATTTTTAATAACAAATTGTTATAAAGACTTGAGAAATATATCAAAGTCTGAATTGTTTTAATGCCTGTTTCATTTAGGCATTAAATTGATTTCATTACTTTTGAATATAATTGGAAAAATGTTGCATACTGTTCAAGATGTCAGTAAAATCCAGGATCTCTATTCAGAAGTATAAAATATTTCATTCTAGACTTTATGTGATTGAGATGGCAACACAGAATTTAAAATACAAATAGAAAGCTGTGGATTAGTGGGATGTTACCAGGAGTTCCTGTGATATGTAAAGATCTTGCTGAAGAAAACCCATCCAGCCGTTGTTCTCTTCATTTACTCAGATAAACAACCACTTGTGAGAAAGGGTGCTGAGAACAGGAGGCAGGGAAAAAAGTTAGGCCAACAGCATGCATCTCATACAAATTATATTCAATTTTAAGCTACATTCTGAGTAGATGTTTCTGTAGATAGTCAGTATCATGTGATACTGATTTGATTTTGGCCTTGACTTTGATGACTGTAGTTTGCAATTGCATGCACACTGGGTACACAAGATGCTGGTTGAGAGGAGAGATCACATTGTAACACTGAGAAGAGAATAAATCTTTAGGTGCTAAATATATCCAGCTCATACCTGGCCAGACTTCAGAAGGAGCTTAATAATCCTTCTGTTTTAATTTACATCCACATGTTTATTTGTACAGATTCATTAAGTCTTTATCTGGCATTTCTCTGGTTTTTAAAGATTGTTAAAACTGGCAGATCACAATTGCATTACTGCACAGAAGTAAATCTTGTAGTCTGTACTCAGGCAAAACTTACATTAATTTCCATTCATGAGCTGCAGGAGTGTACTGGCTGTCATGCACCAGTGACTGGTGTTTTCAACTGAAGTATGGTTCCTGACATGTGGGTCAGTAATCCAGCAAGAAAAAAGAAGGGGTGATCTGTTTAATGTGAATTTGTCCTCCTAATGTTCTGTTAATGTGCTGTCTAAGGGTAGGTTTTGCTTCATTGCAGAGAGCTGTTATACATATCTCTGCAACAGTGCCTAAACCTTGTAAGGAACTGCTGCAATGGGGTGAATTGCTAACTGTTAATTCTGGAGCCAGTGAGCACATCTCAGGGGAAGATTTATTATGCCTTTCTCTTTGTAGAAAAGTTACATGCAAATAAAAATTTCCTCATAGTTGTTCATCATTTAGAAGCATTCAAAATACGAGTTTAGTTGTGTCTTTCCAACTGCATTATCCTGGTCTGGCAAAGGCAGAATACATTTTCTGTATTCTGATATTCTTAAATATGAAATCTTGATTTTTTTTTTTCTATGGCTATTATTCATTCATTAAGAACCACTACTCTGATATTTAGGGATAAAGATTACAAAAAAGATTAATGTGTCTCATAAATCACTAAAAAGTACAGATAAACATACCCCTGTACTTTCACAGTTGCCAAAATGTATGGGTGTTATATATAAGAATATGTTTGAACATACATTCATGTTCATCTTAAGCATAAAATTCCTCTGTTTATGGATACTTACAAAAGCAATCTTCCAATATGTTCCTTAATTTTATCTTTCACTGAGGTGGATATAGTGCTTCCTATGGGAAAACGTACTATTCATAGAAATGTACTTTTTACAGCTGAATTGAGCTGATGAAGGATTGGTAGGTGTCTTGTCTTGGTTTTCCAAGTGCTTAGATACCAGAAAGGAATTAGGAAGAAATCTTGACTTCAGACAGGAGTAGGGGAAAGGATGGGAAATGGGAGCCAAGAAGAGTTTTGGGGCATCAGAAGCAAGAGAAAAAGGGTGGTGTTTAGTATGGGGGGCAAGGAAGAGAGTGGAGCAGCAGAAAGACTTGATGTGAGTGAGGACCAGAGTCAGGAGGAGTAGGGTGGTGGAGCTAGAAGGAAGGGGGACAATGAGAGGAATACGGTTGAAATTGGGGAAAGCCCTAAAATTCTGGCTTCATGGCAGATGCTGTGGACTTTCTCCCTGGTGGGACAATGGAGAAACCAGGATCATGTAACAATACTTGTTTCCACCTTCTGTGGTAGAAACAGGAGTGGAAATAGTTGTCTCCATCTTGGAGGCTGTCTTCTGAATACATCCCTGATGGGGTCTACATAGAGCTTCATCCATGGGTCAGGAGACACTGCCTTTCAGATCTGCGTTTCTAATAGCACTTAAATTCACTACTAAAGGCCAGCTGTAAACAAGTCAGGACTTCTGTTTGCTACTGGCTTATGGTCCGCTTTTTGTTAAATGATTTGGTAGATGACAAGCTGTAGGCACATCCTGCCGTGTGGTATTTGGTCACCTCATAAGCACACTTCTGTTCCTGGGATGGGGAGGGCACACACTCCTCTAACACCCCCTCTAGAGAGAGAGATCTTGGATGAAAGGTGTCTTTAGACCCGGCTCTCTCCAATGATACATGTGTACTATACATCTGGTGGAACATGATTGTTCCCACTGTACCAGTGGTCAGGATTTAGTTGGGAAGTACTGTAATAAGCCAGTTGTGAGGAAAGAAGATGAAGCACTCTAGTTTGAGAGATGCTCCCAACTAGCTTTCCGAGCAACTGCGTGAAAACTGCTGTTGTTTGGAGTGGGGCTGTTTAAAGCCAAATGAGGAGGGGAGATAGTGCTATGAACATGGGGAACTGCAGATCTGAAGGCTCAATTAAATGACTCTGCAAAGAGGAGAAGCATCCTTAGGCATGACTTGTTTGGGGGACAAAGCTTTCATCTTGGAATTGCAGATAGTACATGTATGGTACATCAGAGAAGATGCTGATCAGAAGGAAGTCAAACCCACCATGTATTGAGACATATTGTGAAAACCCCATCAGAAAAAATCCCTGCAATTATTCATGTAGGAACCACAAATGACTAAATATAATCACTTCCATACATCCACAGCTAACCGATGAGCTGGTCAACTTTGGAGTTTTCTGGTTTGGACTTAATCCACAAATTTTCTAAAAAATGGTTTTTGTTATCAGTCAGTTTCATTTCTGTCTAGTCTCCTTACTTATTCCTTATTATTGTGGGTGAGAAATGAATGCTTGAAGGTAACTTACAAATACTTATTTGGCCAAATTCTCACTTCAAACCAGCATTTTTTTCACACTCGGCATCTTGTTTTGCTAACTTATAATTAATAAAGCACCTGATTAATAGGAGGTTTAGATAGACACAAAATGAAGAATTAAGCTCTTCATTTATCCTGAAAGGTGCAGAAACTTCTGTGGCAGACACATAAAACCTACAGATCTGTCTTTCTAGGAGCCTGCATGGTGTTGGACCAGATGATGTGATTTACTTGTCCTTGCAAGGGGTCTGATGAGAAAATGTGAATGCTTTTTGGGGATTTTAAATTCTGTGAAAGAATACTTGAAATTTGTCATACTGTGCCTGTTGTTAGCTAAAACAGGGCTGCCTGCTGAAATCTGTGCTGTTTCGTTCGCGTATTACCTTTTCAGTCTGGTTCTTCCTCATTCAGAAGAACATTTGCTGGAGAGCTGTCCAGTGGGTCGGCTCCAGCAGCTCCTCAGGACTGTCACCACCAGCTGCAAGCACTTCTGTCCTTAGCCTGTGTCCAACAGCAAGACGAGCAGTCAGCTGGGTCCCGCACTGCCCGCCTACACGCTACTATCCTGACCTAGGCGAGCCCAATGCGATGAAAGAATAGACCATTCTCCAGCTCCTTTGTCCCATCTTCAAGGCTGACAGGCAGGCTGACAGTCGGTATCGGTTTGGCTGGGTCATTTTCTCATATTGGTGCTTCTTAACAGGGAGCTGGCCCATGGCAACGCAAGCCATTTAACATAATAGCAATTCTTATGCCTGTTTGCCAGAGCAAGTCATGTAAAGTTTGTAAGCTGTCAATTAATACTTCTTGCCTTAAAATATTTGTTTAAGAAAGACCCTTGTGACTTCAAGAGATGTAAATGTGTAAATGCCACACTGCTAGAAGTCAGCCATCTGGACTTTGTAATCTGGCAGGTAAACAAACGGACCAGGCTCTTTGACATCTCTCAGATTATTGCTGCTCTTATGAACATTAACATTTCCAAAGGTGTCTCTTTCCTTCATCACATTTCAAAGACTCCATTAATTTTGTTTTCACGTGTTTAAATATTTATTTTGACCTTTTACCTCCTGGTATAACCTCCTGGCTTGTTGGACCAGCCAAATCAAAATACACTGATGTGTTCGGAATGGCCTTGCTGCTTGTATAAACACGCTGCATAAACAGCTCTTGCAGAACAAAAGGGCGAGTCCTCCGCTGTACTGTAGCAAGTCTCTTTGTCCGTTTCAGATTGTCCATACAGGTAGGGGCTGTGCTGAGATACGCCAGCTGGTTTTGCAGCCTTCGTACCCTGCGTTCTTGCTCGCATCCAGGGTTGTTCCCCCCCACCATGAGTAATACTGAAGTAAGACCAACACCGTGTTGTTATCTGTTCGATGCGCAGGTGCCACTGCTGGAGTACCGACTCTCCTCCTGGTCCTGGTGGTGCCTACCCTGGGTGTCCTCGCCTGCTCGGGATTCTGAATGTAGCTGGATTTACCTTGTCCTCCGCCTAACACAAAGGATGCCCTTTGAAGATGAGGACCACGACTCTTTTTGACTCCTGTGGCACCACCCTAAGCCAAATAAATTACACTTTAAAATAAATTACCCTACCGATTTCCTATGAACTTTAAGAGGACTGAGGCATCCAGGAACTCCTTCATGAAGTAAATCAACTTTTGAAAGGCTAAGAAATATTTTTAACTTGTTCCAATATGCCTTATAAAACACTTATGCTGATCTGTGACAGTTGCATGATTCGGTCCAATGGGGCAAGTTACAGTGTTAAAACCCAATAACATAGGCTGTACAGTGAAAGTAAAATCACCATACGTAGGTGCTTTAACTTGAATAACAAATTGTGAAATATAATAGAGATTGAAATGTTGATTGTATGTGATAAATGTAAGAGTACTACGTCTGTCTGTACTATCCTATATGTTTTGTGTACCGCATATTTTTGAATGGCCCCATCATCATTTATTGGGATTACTGGTTTTTAGAGAGACAGTCAAAGCAAAAACATTTCATTTTTTTAGAGCTATATTTCTTGAGGCTATTGGATAGAATTTGAAGGACTTGAAATAAAAGTCAGTGACAAGGAATTTTTTATTTTAAAGATGTTCAGAACACCCGAGACATGCGTAGCTTGCTCAGCTTAAAGGAATTTACCTGTACTTCACTGACACGAGTTTTACCATATTCTTTTCTTAAAACAATTCTGTTGAAAAATTCCGTTATGGTCGTTGTTGCTGATTTTAGGAGTGAAATGTCAGCTTTCAGGGAAGCAGCGTAATGTATTGGTTTTGCTTTAGTATTATTACTATGATTATTATTATTATTATTAAGGTAGCAATATAACACTTAGGAGTTTGGAGATGGAGTCCATGTTAAGATCAGCCTAGTGGACCATGAAATGGTAGGAAACGTATGTTATTTTTTAAAATGCAAAGATTTAAAATATAAAAAAAGAAAAAGATATACAATAAATGGCAAAAACAGAGTAGCACAGTAAAAAAATTATTATATTTACATTTTTATGCTGCAGATGCCCAGTGTTACCTTCCTGTAGTGAAGGTGTACATTTGGGAGAATTATATGCTTTTTCAAGAACTTGATATTATTCTAATGTTCATAGTGTTGTAAATAAGAGTTTTAAAGTTCTGAGACCGTCTCCCTATTTGATAGAGTACTGAATGATCCAACTGTGTGTTAATACATGAAAGTCAGATCCCAACTGTTAGTCAAATCTAAATGTTTACTATGGCCTTTTCAAACTGGGAACTCTATTAGAGATAGAGAATGTTTTTGTTCTGACTGTGTCTAGAGTGTTTCAGTGTTGGGTTTTTTGTTGGCTTGTTTGGGGTTTCTTTAAGTTGTTAAAGAAATGCACATTCCTTTCATTTTTCATGGTGTGCTGGGAATTAGTTTGAGTGTGAATGTTGAAGAAACACAGTGATATTGAATCAGCTGGCTCAAGTAATAGTGCAATGTCTGATGCTTCAAGAATTATAAGCTTTGAATCATATTTTGTTAGCACAACCTTGCTAGCTACTTAGAAATAGATTTTATCTTTTTAGAACTGATACTGTAGAGGTCCGTAATAATAATATTTACATGAAGCAAGAATACGTCTATTAATAATTCTCACCCCCTTCTTTTATTTGTATAATTTTGTACTATATATTTACATGTAAAAGCGTAGAGTCTTCATCAAGAAATATCAATAATGCTGTTTTAGTTTAATTTTAACTATTTGTTACAAGATGAAAATTTTTTAAATAGGTGAAAGTGATAACTTCCCTATAGAGGAATGTCAAAGTGTCAAACACTACTGAGTTTCATAAATTGTATAATTATTTGAAAGAGAAATGAGCTGTCTTCATACATAAGAAACTAATACGCTGTAAGCCTTCTGTACAAAAAAAAAAAAGTGGTTTATTGTGTTTCATTTGGTTTGGTTTTTTTGCAGTATGACTCATTTTTATATAATCTACAACCACAGCTAAATCCTTTGCCAAATGCATGATTGCCTTTTACTTTTCTAATACATGGTGTAAAAAGCAAAACTGTTTAGTTTTTGCATGGAAATGACCGGGGAAGGAAAGCCACTTCTCTTTTTTAAATCAGCAACACAGATGAGGTAGGTCTCGAATACTGACCAGATAGTTGGAGATCTTTCTGTTTCACATAATTGTGTAAATTTGGCTGGGACCTTCAGTTTCAAATTGTTGTCCAGAAAAACTAACTAAAGTTATCTGTTTTAAAACGCAAGGTTCTTAATTAAAGTTTATATAGATAGACATATTTGTTGTTTCTTTATATTTCAGGAAACTTGATATTACTATGATTTGATACTGATGAATATTGAACTGTTTTTTTAGTTACTTTTTATCTTTTTTTTTTTTCAAATGAGTAGAGCAGGACCGTGCTTTGTCCTTTTTATGAACGAAAAGTAAATTACGATTAAATAAATGTATTAATGTTACTCAAAATATAAGAACTGTCTTTTGAATTGGAGCTTTCTAATTTCATAACAGTGATGTGGTCATCTGTGACAGTAAAGGTGTGGATGGAATTAGGTCCTGTGTGTCCCTGCCCTGCCTTCTTGTGAGTTTTGCTGGAGTGGGATCCCAGCTTTTGTGGGATAAGGGTGGCTGTTTTGCTTTGATTACAGGTGATATAGATAGAAAGATTTTTCCTAATGTCAGTGACAGAGAGTCTCCTGAGACCTCTTCAGCATTTTTGGAAGCAAGAGTTAACCAAGTATTTTTTTCAGGTAATGTTTTCTACTCCAGTAGATATATTACAAAGAAAGGTGGATGAAATGGCAAAACTTCATACTGATTACATACTTTGTGTGATCACAATACTTTCAAGCGGTGACATCAAGTATAACTGACTGAGATACTGCCTGCCTTTGAGGGGTCACGTTCAGGCCCTAAAACGCACAAAATGTGGCATGTAAGAAGGTGCTGAAGCTGACGGTCATATTGCAGAACTTGGTTTCATTTATCTTCAGAGAGAGCAAATGAGAAGAGTCAATGAGAGGATGTGTTCCTCGTGCTCTGCACCTAAAAGACTGTCTAGTCAATTGGAGCAGGACTCAGACCTGGGGAGGAGGAGATTATCACTACTTTGATTAGGTACGTTTTGTATTTTTATCTTGGTCTCTAAGAGAAATAAGGGTTTGAGTCTCTGTCTGCCAGTTCTCTGCTAATGATTTCAAACTTACTGGGCGGTGGCAGACAAATTCAGCAGCTATCTTACTGAAGAAAATCATAGTCTGAGTAGAAGGCAGAGATTTAAATCAGGAATTTGCATCCAAGGCGGCTGCAGCATGGTCACTGGTCTTACCTGTTCTGTTTGTCCTGGCAGATGCCCAGCCAGCAAACGCCCCAAAGCCAGGTACGGCTCACCTTGGAACAGCCTTACCCAGGGCCTGGACAGCATGGGATGAGTGTCGGCTGGGGGGAGGCCTCAGCACATGGCATTGCAGGAGGCAGAAGCTGAGATCATTGCAGTGACACAGCGAGGAAGGGAAGAATGGGGCATAGAACATAAACCCATGGGAGAAAAGGTTCATTCTTTCCACTCTTCAAAGAACAACTTGTTTTTGTTTGTGAGACGGCTTTGTTTCCAGACTTCAGAGCCTCTAGCTACAGAAGATGATAAAAAAATATGGCTTTAAATACTAGATATCTGGCTGAAGACCAGATCTTCCAGTCTTGATCTGCCTCAGCATTGCATTAAGCTACACTTCCTATTGGAATTAAAATAACAGACATCAGGTAATACCCAAATACATTCCGGCACAGATCTTGAAATAGTTCCAAATGCTATCGTTTGGAGATTTTGTTTATTTAAATACATCACGGAAATGTCTGTCTTTCAGGTTACAACAGTACAATATGAGCTAAGGATATTCCTTTGGCAGCAGTATCAATTTCTGTAGCTTCTAGCACTTACGTGTGCTCCATCTTTGTACATGTCATCCAGTGGAATCTTTTCACAGTGTTAGGACATTGGCACTGTGTGGGAACCACCTGCCTTCTGCACAGAGCAGCGTGGTCTTGCAGAGGAAGATTGCCCCTCTCCATTTCTTCCAGAGATGATCCATTTTTCTTTAACTTTTCTACCACTAGTTCCTTTTGTTTTGTTATTTTAACATCCTTCTTCTTTCCAAAAACTGAAGAAAGCACAGAAAGCACTAAAGTCCAAATGAAATGGAAATAAAAAATAATGTTCATATCTCAGACAGAAGTAGCACTGTCTTTTATTGACAGGCTAACATGGTTGGGTTTTTTTTTTACCTGAATGCCAATTCACCAAGTCTGCTCTAAAGGATGTCTTGAAAAGGCACATGAAAAGTGTTTCCTTCACCTTAGTTGATCTTGACTCTGATCTATTCTCTTGAGTAATATGGATGACACTGGAAACTGTGCCAATTTTAGTTTTCCATAACACTTAGAAAACTCATGATTTAGCAGGTAACTTCCACAGGCCACCCCCAGTGAGTACTGATGAGTGGATTTTACTGGTCTATATTTAGTCTAATATTCTCTTTAACACCTGACGCCTTTGGTCTTTAGTGCGTTGTCACAGCCACAGCCACAGCTTCACAAAAAGGTATGAAATCATTTCTTTCTCTCCCAAAGGAGACAGCAGAAAAGGCACAGAGCTTTCTGATTCCCGGAGGGATCTGTTTCTGAGGGTTTGAACCCGCTTGCTGCCCTCTACTCATGGCGGATCGCAGTGTAGCAATACAGCCCTGCTGTATTTTAATATTAGGCTTGGTCAGCACTAGGGAGTTGTGCCAGAACCATCTGTCGTCTGGGAGAGAAAAGAACCAGACACTGCCCGGCCCAAAATGCTGGGTCAGCAAAGCGTCTGGCATTAACGCACCTATGCTGGCACAGGGTTAGCTAGTGTTATGTGGGAAAGTGGGATAATTACCCCGGCAAAAAATGTCTGTCACACGGGCTCCGCACCCGCCAGGAGGAGGCGTTCGGCAGCCTGGCAGCAGAGGCACCGCACCGAAGGCTGGTTCCCATCAGGAGGTACACCCCGAAAGCGCCGGGAGGGACGGTACAGGTGCACATCTCCAACTGCAGCCACACGTGTGCCCTGGAGTATACCCTGCCCTGGACATCGCTAATGGGCGAGTGCGGAAAGGAGAAAATTAAAGACCTGCTTGACTTCTCGCTCTTCCCCATTTTATTCCACATCCAGCGCTGGTAATGGTTTTCACAGGGAACTCTCCTCTGCAACCACATGAAACAGCTGCATTTATAGCAGGCTTAATCTCATCCTGCATTAGTTGAGTAAATAGGACAGACAAATCACTCCCCTAAATGCACCTGCCCACTGGCTACGAAGGAGGCATAGCTGTAAATGGGAGCTACCTGATGCTGGGAAGGTCAGTCCCACCCCAGCTGCGTTATGACAGCACGCAGGATCAGATGCCGGTAAAAAGGCACATCTAAACAGAGAATACAAAGATACTGACTGGGCATCGTCCCCTCTGATGGCTCTCACAGTGTCACCTCCATCCGTCAGTCATTTGACACTGCTGAAAGCGGCGCACAGCAGAGTGTTCCTGTGGCATCGAGATAGCCCAGCGCCAGCCCTCCCGCCCTCCGCTGCCTGCTCAGCTCCAGGCAAATTCCGATCCTCGCTGGTGGCCCAGTGGGCACACAGTTGCCGGTTGGCACGGGCCGCAGTCAGCGGGGGTAGACGGCACCACGGGGTCACTGCCCGGCTGCAGGCCGGTGTTTAAGCCTTGGGGAAACACGGGGTTGGCGTGACCCCAGGGCTGTGGAGGGCACGGCTGCCCTCAGAGCACCAAGCTTCTGGCCGGCCATGGGGAAGGTGCTCCGGCCTCGGAAATGGTGCATTCGGCACAAGACACTGAATTCTCCTCCCACCCCAACGGGAGGAGAGAAGCGAGTATTTTAGAAGCGTAGAATAATTGGGGTTGGAAGGGACCTTTAGAGGTCAAATTTCCCCAGATTAAGGCCCGTGCATGTGAACAGCGAGGATTTCAGCGCCCGGCAGCCCAGCTGAGCGGGCAGCGCTCCCCTCGCTGGCGAGCCCTGAAGCGAGCAGGCTTTGGGAGCGCGCAGCGTCGGCCGCTCAGACCCCCATGTCAGTAACCGGATTAGCTGCGCGGTCACGTTCGTTTCTGATTCTCACAGGGAGAAAGATATAAATGCACAACGTTCCCAGAGGCACTCAGCTCCAGGGACTTATCCTGTCCAGACACTCCCTGTGAGCAGCCGCTCTGCAGTGCCTGCGGCACAGTAGCGCTCATGGCATGCAGCGGTGGAGCCAAATGGTGTTCCCACACTGCTAAAACCTTGTACTATCCACGCCAGGGCTGTTGTATACAAACCGCCCATGAGGCACTGTCCCCGGCTTCTCCCAGGGTTGGTTTTTGGATGGCGCAGCCCTGAGCCATGCCGGGGCTGCTTGGCAGCAGAGGTGTCTGTGTCCCGGGGCTGGCACTACCAGCTGCACAAGTTTTTTTAGTTTTCTGCTCAAAATCTTCAGGATTACTGTAGGTTCTGCAAAAGCTCGGTTCCTACTACTTACTTACCTGTATCTGCCATTCCAAGAGGGACGGGGACGTGCAGAGGGCTTTAGGGCAAGGCCTGTGTGTGACGAGACCTTCGCTCATCCACCTCTTACGCCTCACCATTAAACCACTGCCCTTTGTCTTGCGAGTCCACGTTTAGCCAATAATATTCATGAAATCGTATATCGTTTTCTCTGCTCTTTTGACAAGCCCGGGAAGTTTTTAGCTATAAATGCTGAGACACATGCATCAGTCAGAGCTTCTCTATGGACAGCACTCTGAAGCAGTTAATTACCGAACTTAATTTAACTCTAATGCATAGCAGGCTTCCTATGGATTGACCCGTAGCTCAAAGAGCTGTCGAAAATCAGCCAGGTCTCCACAAAGTCCCTCTGTGCCTGCCGTGTCAGAGCACTGCAGTACCACAGCTGGCCTCCGAAACATGTGCCATGGCCAAGATGATGTCTCCTCTGGCATCAAATCCCAAGATCCTTCAGCCATCTTCGGTCCCTGATTTGATCTCCAGTTAAGAAGTAGGTGATGGAACAGTACAAAAGGGTCTATAGGGCATGGGTGTATTTTTATATGTGGGCCTTGTACAAGTAGGTTAAAGCATGTAGGTAAAAGCATGTAGGTTAAAGCAAGTAGGTTAAATAATAACTTAAGCAAAAAAAAAAAAAAAAAATCCCCACAAGAAACAGAGATGAGCTCTGCAGTTTTTGTGGCAGCTTTTATACAGGGAGTTTAAACTTTGTGCTCCCAGAGCCAAGAAAGAGTACACAGAATGACTCCACTAGTTCTGCTCAGCAGAGTTCTCTATCATTAACCTATGGCACTGACTTTTCTGTTATGTTGTGGATATGAGGATTTAGACAGCAGTACAGGAGAAAAGAGGGGAAAATAATTCTGTG